AAATGATGGAGTTTCGGACCATGGTGTTATGAAGTTTGAGGTAATTAGGGGTAACAAGTAATGGAGTTTGGAGTTATGTTTATTTTTTCAAATTTTTGGCAGTGAGACATTATAGTTGAACTATTCACGAGAATTTTAAAGAAAGTTTCATCAAAATCAATGCTGATTTATAATATAGGCAGAATTTTGTCCACCAAATAGGCTTTTTGGCACACTGTGCGTCGTAGTCACACAGGCAGAAAATAATCATGCGCTCTCGTCGATAAAGCGCAACGCGCATGGCAATTCGAGGCTCGCATATGCTCTCTTTCTCCGGGCAGATGCTCTCCTCCGCTCCGCTTGTTCGCCTCGACTCTCTCGGAGGTGTGCGAAAAATGGACGGGACGAAGGCCCCGGCGCGGCTTCGTCGAAAACGCATTCGTCGCATACGTGTCGGATTTCGATCGAACGTATGTTTTCCCTCTTTTCTTCCGTCGCGCGTCACACGACACCTTTCCGGCGGGCTCGGCCCGGCTTACAATCCGCATAGAAATGACGGTGGGTAGCGTGTGCCGGCGCGATAATTAGGGTGGTGTTCTCGTGAATGCCGAGGGAGCAAGGTGGACCACAAATACTATTGCTATAATGGTTATTAGGGCTCTAAAGCGAAGAGAGAAAGAGAAGGAGATCGCCCGACGTTTGGGTGTAACGTTTCGCTCCGCGATGCAAGGCGAATCGTGCATAAAATCGAACTCGCGATGAGTTTCTCGCGACGAGGCCCGACAAGCAAACATGCCTCTGCATTATCTCGTATTCTCTCTTCTTCTCTTAGACCCAATCTCGAGGAGAATTGTACTTCAATAGTCGACAAGGAGAGATAAAATCTCACGGATGTATCCTACGTTTTCTCGATAAGAAAATTTCGAACAATTTTTATTCTTTTCCCCGTGGCTACTCCCGCGGTTTCAAGCGTTTTTTCTTGCATGTCCGCTTTATAATTATCATTTTAAAATGATAATTTCTAAAAACGCGCTTTGCAATTTCACAGGCGAATAGAAGGCGGTGAAAACAATTTGCAAAGGTCTCTTTCTTTTCACTTTTTACCGACGAATATTCTCGCGAGCTTCGATCTTTCGATCGAAGTTTCCGATTAGAATAACGGATACAGAAGAAATAACATCTTGCAACCGGATTCCTTTTCTTTTCGAATATACGCTTGGGACAAGAATGAAATTCCCAATTGGTATCGTAATATGAGATCATCTATCTTTGGAAAAATTTGGACACTTTGATCTATGCTGTGCATTTGGGAAAACCTTTGAAAATTTCTATTACCAAGATTGCGTTACCCAGATAGATTTTAGTGATTATTGCGACGTGAGGCAATCGACGATGAAAACAGTTCCTTTGATTGCATTTAAAAAATAAATATATTGAATGAATTATCAATTTTACACCGTACAATAATGTAAATTTTTTGTTACATCGATTTTGTTTGGCAACAAATTTGCCAAAAGTCACACTCAGATTTTCACGTTGTATTTATCATGATTTATTATTTGGGACAAATTTCGATCACTCTCTTTTCCGTATTTCTTTTCTCATTCTACGCGACAAATGTAAGAGCGATCTGATCGGTCATCGGGGACTCAACGTTGCTAACAAGAAATACTAGGTAACTCAAAAATTCAAAAAATTCTGAAACTTTGTGTGCAAGTAGAGCAGTTCATCCGTAACACAAAATTATTTTTTGTTCGTGCGGAATTAGGGGGTGAAACACTCTTTTGGAAAAATCGGTTTTTTCTTTTGGAGCGAATATCGTCAAAATTATGATAGAAAAATTTTCCAAAGTGAAAATTGAATAATTTCAAGAGTAGTTTAGAACTATAATAAAAAACTGTTTTAAAATAGAGGTGGAATTGGGGGTATACAATAAATAAATAATAAAAAATTTTATTATAGTTCTAAAGTACTCTTGAAATCAATTTTCACTTTGGAAAATTTTTTCTATCTCTTATAGTTTCGACGATACTCGCTTCAAAAGAAAAAAAACCGATTTTTTCAAAAGGATGTTTCACTCCCTAAAACTAATTCCGCACGAACAAAAATAGTTTTATGTTACGGATGAACTGCTCTACTTGCACACAAAGTTCCAGAATTTTTTGAATTTTTGAGTTACCTAATGTTTCTTATCAGCAACGTTGAGTCCCCGATCAAATCGCTCTTACATTTGTCGCGTGGAATGAGAAAAGAAATTTTGTCTATTTCTTATAGTTTCGACGATATTTGCTTAAAAAAAAGACCAATTTTTTAAAAAGGATGTTTCACCCCCTAAAACTAATTCCGCACGACCAAAAAATAGTTTTGTGTTACGGATGAACTGATCTACTTGCACACAAAGTTCCAGAATTTTTTGAATTTTTGAGTTACCTAATGTTTCTTATCAGCAACGTTGAGTCCCCGATCAAATCGCTCTTACATTTGTCGCGTGGAATGAGAAAAGAAATTTTGTCTATTTCTTATAGTTTCGACGATATTTGCTTAAAAAAAAAACCAATTTTTTAAAAAGGATGTTTCACCCCCTAAAACTAATTCCGCACGAACAAAAAATAGTTTTGTGTTACGGATGAACTGATCTACTTGCACACAAAGTTCCAGAATTTTTTGAATTTTTGAGTTGCCTAGTGTTCCTCGTGAGTCTCGCGATTGCGTGTACTTGAAGTTGCTGCGAAGTTTACGTGCATCGGTCTATCGGTGTACTCGCTGGCCGACGGCACGTAGGGAGAGAGCGCATTACACGACCCCGGCACACCGTGGCAAATGCAAATGTCGCCCGGGCCCGGCAGGAATCGTCGACGGCGCGCTCGCGAGGGAGATCAACGATCGCAATCATCGATGTCACGGGACGACTTATTGGCCGCGACTCGTCTAATAGATCGATACCACCCGTTATTACACTCAGCCCGGGACGGCGTACGCGCTCATACGGCGTCCTACAAATAACACGCCGGGTGGTTCGCTAATGAGGTACCCGGGCCGGGCGGCCGACGCACGTGACCGGATCTCTGGGCGTTTTCGTTCCCCGGCCGGCAAGAGGCGCAACGGGCACCACCGGGGCCACGACAGTGCCATGGTTTCTATGCTTCCGCGCGCCGGGCCGTCGTCCTCCTCTTCCTCTTAGGATCATCCGCGACGAGCAGACTGTCGCACGACCCTGACAGTCATTACACGCCGCTTACACCGCGCTTCGTCGGAGACGCGAATTTCCTCCTGGCGATATCGTACCTTGCGCTCCAAAGACGAGAATTGAAGAAGAGGTATGAGACCTGGTTTACGACAACGGGTGTTGTAAGTCGTGAGAATTGGCCATTCACCGTCGATTATTACAAGGAAAATTAGCTATAATCGGCCTATTCTTACGGCTTACGATATCTATTGCAGACTAGGCCTAAGACTCGATCATACGAATCTCGAGCGACGAATTAGGACAAATGTGCACTCTCTAAATTTCTTCGAGTGAGATCAAACGAGTGATAATTCATCGGAAGCGATGAAGATATCGTCAATTGGGGCAAGAATCCGCATAGAAATTTCTTAGTATTTTCCCGAATGTAGGTCAGATTCTAATCAGAATGCCCGATTTTGTCTTCGTAAAATTATCCCACAACGATACTAACTAAGAATCTTTATCCCAAACATGAGTTCTCTATCTACAATCCGAACTGAAATATTAAAGAAATTTGAATTTTTAAATATTTTCTGCGTATAATTATTGTGAGAAATTGAATTGGATCCAATTTTTTATGCGGGAAAGGGCAAATGTTTGGTTGAAGCTCAAAGTGGATTCTTAATGGAATTTCACTCGAAGAAAATTATTGTTCGTTTATTTTCTCATTATTATCAATTTATTTCGTAGAAATAATTTAATTAATTCTAGTGATACAATTTACTGCTACTTTGACTCTGATGATATCCGAGATTTCTCTTTTTATTTTCTTTAGCAAAATAGATGTTGAATGGAGTAGTAAGGCTGAAAGTAGGATCAAAATTTCGACTCGAATGTGATCGTTGAAGAAAACACGCGTGCTACGTGAAATTGCAATTTGTGTGTGTGTTTAATTTAGTACTTTCCCGAATTAAAAGTCAGCAGCGTTTAAGAATCGCGCAGCACCTAGATAAATTTGTCTAAGACCGCGACGGGGCGCCATGAAATCCGCGGTATCGTTAGCGTTGCGGCGCGATCGTAAGTTTAACTAACGATACGAACTGAATATTACATGAATCGAGTTCTTGTCGTGGCGCACGACGTCCGCGCACGAGGAATCTGGGTTCCTTGCCGCGCGCATTCCGAACGGCGCGTCCAGTATCCTATAACCTCGGCCGTGTATTATTCACGATATGTAGATCTACGATGTTTACAATGTATGATTGCGCAACTTGTAAAGTATAATTCCGAACGCGCATTGCCGTGCCTGCCGCAATTACTTTTATGCCCACCATCGTCGTCGGTGAAATCCCGAACACTTGCGAGCGCGACGCTGGCTCTTTTTCGAGTGAAAACGCTTCGTAAAACTTTTAGAATTAATCTTTTGGCTAATTGGAAGAACATCTGTTTCACACATCCGCTTCGTTCGTCTTTTGCCGCCAACTAAATCCCACAGTTGAAATTCCTACGTCATATCGTCGATCGGCTTCAATTTAAACCTTTAAGTATCACTGGTATCAATAGGGACCACTCGAGCAGTTGGAACCTTATAAATGTGCTATTTAGAGTGTCTTTGACAATATTTCATTAAAAAAAAAGTTACTAGAATGTTCCATGAATTATGCGCCTTAAAGGGTTAACTTGACTCGAGTGCAATTTGCGCAACAGAAAACTCTGAGGTCCTTTTTGTTTAGCCATGCAACGGTAAAATCTCTTTCGACGAGTTTCGAGACACGGCAGCGTCTCCAGAAGTTCTGTTTGAAAGTCCCAGCGTCTCGGCCGCGTTTTCGCTCGCTCGGAGTTTCGGTTCACTCACCACGTGGATGCCTTCGGCGTCTCTCCTGAGATCGCCGCTCCTCTGGCCGGCGGTGACGGCGGCGCTCAGGTGATTGTAGTGGTGCTGGTGCAGCGTGTTGAGCGTTTGCGTGTAGGGATCGCCGACGAGGTAATCCAGGTGTTGCGGTTGGCCGAGACTGGGGTGCTGGGGGCTGGCGGGCGCATGGTGGTGCGAGGGGAACGGGGGTGGAAAGTAAGGTGGTTGGAAGTCGGAGGCAGTCGGCAACGAGGCGCCCCCGTGGTGGGGCATGCCGCCGCTGTTTCCGTTTCCCCGGTGTCCGTGGTGATGGGCACCGGAATAGGGCGACGAGTTCCCGCCGCCCAGCGAGGAAATGCCCCCATGACCAGTCAGACGGTCCTGTTAACAAGCGAACGATCAACTGTGTGTTATTATCGCACGGCAATCGAGCACGATACAGGGCTGATTATACGCCTCGGCGAGGTGTTACGAATCAGATCAAATTGATTGATACGCCGGGCGAGTAATTTCACAAGTACTTATAGTTGGGAAGAAGCGGGGAATGTAGTTTCTCAGTTGGAAGGTGACGCGCATCACTTTTGTAATGTCGTTACGATTCTCTGCGCGATATTTTTCTCTTCCTCGATGACGACAATTATATATTTGGATGACGATGAAACGAGTTATACTTCTAACCCTTTCAGTGGAAAAGTTTCGTGGTGAAATATTAAATTCCCTTTACTTAAGCTACTTGAGCTCTATTCTGTTTTTTAACTCACAGCAAATGCGAATGTAAATTGGATATATTTCGTATCCTATTTTCCAAAATTCTCTAAAAAAAATAATAGAAACAAAAGGAACCTAGATATGCTTCTTTAAAAAAAGCCCGTCCTGAAAGGAATCGTTTAATTTCAGTCACCACTGAAGAGATAAAAAGGTGATCCTGTCAGCGGTATGCTCGTAATCGTGAACACTTTAAGCGACGCCAACTTCACGTGCGAAAAAGTGTGCGGAACGTTTAGCAAACAATTGTACGGCGATTAATTTCCACAGCTGCGTATAGACAGCAATATCTAAGGGATGGACGCGTCTCTCGTTTAACGAGGGACGACGAGTTCCCGCGTTTTTGTTATCGCGGCGTTCACCTAAAACGGTTTGTAATATCGCGTTAACTCTCGCTACCAGCGGAGAGCCCGCGAGTGGAGGTTAATCAATTAGCCGCGCTTGGAAAACGAAAGAAGACGAGTCTCCTTTCATTCGCGAATCCCGCCGCACAGTCGCCGCAAAAGGATTCACTTCTCACGACGGTAATTACAGAGCGTGCACATCGTACATCGCGATCCACTCGAGATAAGAGATACGTCACACGTCACATGCGTTGCATCCGACGCGAAGGGGTTAAACATCGTGCATTAGTCAGCGCTCGCGGACCGAAAATTACACGGCAACCAACAGGCGTATTAACGCGCGGAAATTTCCTCCGTCGATTAAAACCGCACGCGGATCGCGCGGGCGCACGTTCGAGAGCGTCGGTTTCGAGAAACTTTAGGTAGCACACTACCGGCATTTAATATATTCCGGCTACTCACGTCGTGTCGTGGAATCCACGCGCTCTCTCTCTCTCTCTCTCTCTCTCTCTCTCTCTCTCTCTCTGTGTGTGTGTGTGTGTGTTTTAAGGGCTGAAGTCAACGACGAACTCAAACAATGTCGATAACACAGAGATAATTGTCACTAACGCAATCATCCTTTTTGAATTTTTACAAAACTTATGTACACTGACAAAAAAATGTCGGAAAATTAACAAATATTTAATGGGTGAATTACTAAATCAAAATTCTTTTAATTTAAACTGAACATTGTCTACACAGTTTAAGTAAACAATACTTGGTTTAAATGAAGAAAATTTTGATTTAAGTGAATATGTTAAGTAATAATAATCAAAGTAATAAATATTTGTTAATTTTTTAATATTTTTTTTTTAATGTAAATGTATTGCTTTGTTTCACCATACTTAGTGGAAAATCTAACCACGCACGTGTAGAAATTTTTCTGCAAACTTTTCCAACACTCTTAAGTTTCTGAATTCAGATGCGAAGGATAGCAATGTTCTTCAAAATTTTTCTGTTTGGAGCATCCACATTTTCGGTATATATAAGCTGCGGAACTTAAAATTTTGTTTCCTCACATATGAGCAATGCTCCTATTTATTTTTGCACGCTTCATTGCGTAAAAGCATTTGCAATTCTCTATAATCAATAAAACGAAAACTCTGCAGAAAAATGTCAGTATCTTGTCGGTAAAGTTTTCAGCATCTCCTTAAGGGGATGCTGAAGCTAAAAACTTTACCGACAGAATACTGGCATTTTTCTGTAAAGTTTACGTCGTATTGGTTATACAGAATTACAAATGCTTTTACGCAATGAAAGTACGTGCAAAAATAAATAGGAGCATTGCTCGATATGTGTTGAAAACGAACAAAAAATTTTTAATGTAAAATCTCAAGCTGTTAGTTAGCGTAATATTTGCCTAATCCAAAAGTTCCGCAGCTTGTACACACTGAAAATGTGGATGCTCCAAACAGAAAAATTTTGAAAAACGTTGCTCTACCTTTGCATCTGCATTTGGAAGCTTAAAAATATCGAAAAAGTTTGCAGAAAGATTTCTGCACATATATCGTTAGGTTTTCCGTTGAATATGGTAAAACAAAGCAACACACATTCTGTATATACAAGAAATACGAAAAGGATAGCGTGATGTTAGTGACAATCGTCTTTGCATTATCGACATCGTTCGAGTACGTCATCGACTCCAGGGCCCCTATTCTTGAAATAGTTGCGTATACGTAAGTTTTACTGCGCAGGTTTAATCATACCATAAAATAGCTGCGCAATGAAAATTACGTATATTTCAAGAATAGGGGCCCAGCATCCCCTTAAAGACTTCAGCTGATTAATATTCTCCATTGTACGATAACAAGAATCGAACATTGATTATTACAGCAGATTGGCCAAATGAGGGCGAAGAGAGCGCGGGCGGAAACTATGCAAATTTCACGGTAATCAGCGCGTGCACAAACAGCCTAGCTTGCACACACGGGGCGCAGGTGCAGTGCACCACGCTTCGCGGAATATAATGCGCATAAGATGTTGCACCGGCTGACAACGCACAGTGCAATATTGCGCGATATCGTGATGGTTTATCGGCCAGGTAACTCGATAAACCGGCCAATCCATGTTTTTAGAGAAAGCTAAATTTTATACGTTAAACGTTATACGGCGAGGAAAATTTACAGCGTTGTCCCGCAGTTTTTATCACCGTTCCGTTCTTGCGCCGCGTTTGCGACGATCGATATCGAGAGAGATTGGTTTATAGTACTTGAAAAAGTGCGAAGAAGAAAGCGAGAGACTCGACGGAGAAAGATCCCTGGGAGAATCCCGCCCGAACCCGTCTGCTGAGAAGAGAGCTCCGCGGTTCCTCACTCGTTCCGACAATGAACTTTCGTCTCTCACATTAGTAACTCTGGTGACCGCGCCAGTCGTCGATTAGAGTCATCAAGATTAATTAAAATATTTTAATTACTCTCTTCCTTAATTATGAATTTAGATTCTCTCCCCTAATTATGAATTTAGATTCTTCTAATTATTTCTTACAGTCAAAATTTCGGTTTATATTTTTCTGAAATGTCACAAAGCCAATATTCTGATTGGCCTCTTCTCCAAGTGAAGTTTACGTCTTACACTCGCGGTGATTTGTGTCTAAAAACCTTAAAGGGTTCCCGTAGTCATAGACGTGATACATAAACTTAAACTGAAGAATCAATCAGGATATTGTTTTATTTTTGCATACTCTAGAAGAAAATAAAACTGATTGTTATACAGAACTAGAATCCAATCGGTTGAAATTCTAGTTACTCAGTCTAAGTTCTAGTTACACCGTTATTTCTATCCTCTTCTAAAGTACGCAAAGATAAAACAATATATTGATTGGTGCTTAAGTTTACGTCTTACGTTTGCGGTTACGAAAATTCGTGTAGCGAATTGGGAGCCCTGAATCGCGGAACATTGAGATCATCGGCACACTCTGTTCGCGCGATCCGACGAGAAGAGGCAGAAACGTGCCCGCCTGCGATAGATAAATGCCGTTTAATCCGGACCGCGTGATCTCGCAGTGTACGATATTACTCAGGTAGATAGTATCATCTCAAGTGTATCTGGATATCGGCGGAAAGGCCACCTTTGCCGCGGCGCATCGCCGAGCCATTAGATCTCGCAGCGGGTTCCGATACAATCTCGAACATCTCTATAAAGCCAACGAAAGGGCCAACCGCTAGTTTTATCGCGACCGCCGTTGTGTATCCGCGTGTGCATACCTGTGTATGAAAGGCGCGTGCGGCACCGAGCGCGTCGAATTCCCGACAAATTTGTTGCCCGTAACAAGCTACACATACGCGAGAGCACCGCACGAGCGGAAATTCAGCCTTCCGTAGAGAATCGAGTTCCTCGGGATTGCTTAAGGATGATGAGAGCGAAAGATACGCGAGGGTCTACCTTTAAACGCGCCCTGACCTTTAGTCAGTGCTCCTCGTAGGGCCATCGTCGCGAATTCTTCGAAAATTTTACTCTAGGCAATTTAAAAAGAAATATATTCAGAAGTCCATCGAAATCAATGAAAGATATTTCTATATGTTTCTTTGTTAGAATAACAATTAACGTCGCGAGTAATACAGAAATTTCTTGTCTAAATTTCAGATGGTCTCGTTTTGTTGAAGATGTAAATTAGAAGCAGCAGAGACATTCTCCTATAAATGCACGAGTTATTACGAGAAGGGAACTCTTGTGTAAGTATAAATAAGTATAACATAATAATTGCTCCACAGAAGTTCTCGAAATCACTGGTGGTCTCATTGCAAAAACTACAGGTTACAATCCGCCCTGTTACCTGTCATATATAGCACGCACATTGGCTGTAAAAGGACACGAGAAAGGAATAAAAGTCGTGTTGGCGAGTGTTGAATATTCGGGCGTATTTGACATCTACTCTTTCATAACTTGGATCATATACGATGGATCACATCCGCCAAGGACAGCGCATGACGCCTACAAACTATCGGCATAAATTATAATTTCGAGATGGTTGCCAAATCAATTGATACCGATCGTAGTACAGTTACACTAAAAATATGTACACCGCAATTTGACGTCTCTTACGTTTGTTGCTTTTAAGAGCAACAACCAGAAATAGATAAAATTCTTATAATATTATTCTGATGTTTGATTACATCATATATATTATATAAGTATATAAATATATATATAAGCTAATATTATATAAGTTATTATATATATATATATATATATAAGTTATTATTATATATCAATTAAATAATAGGAAAAAGGACTAATTCGAGTTCAAGCACAGGATTAATAGTGCTATGTATAAATAATAAAACAGTGATATAAAAAAACTCAAGGTTTACGAAACGAACGCATTACAAGTAAAAGAATTAATTAAAGACCTTAATAAAATGACATGAATGTTATTCGCAGTATTATAGCTGACAAGACCGTTACCCGACTATCACTGAAGAGGGTTCATGATTGAGCCGAAACGTTTGATTATTTATATTGAGTATTCATGTTCAATAAATATTGCTCTATTTCCTAACACAAGGAAGGTTTTACCCATATGGTACATAGCACTATTAATCCTGTGCTTGAACTCGAATTAGCTCTTTTTCCTATTATTTAATTGATATCATTGTTATTGAATTCTTATTTTCTTTCTCTTAATATTATTATATAAGTTATTATATAAATATATCATATATATTATATAAGTATAATATATTAGATACATTCTATTATATTATATTATATTATAACATTATTGTGATCATGTAGATACCAAAATACATACGTACAAAATAAATATAGTGCAAAAATATAATTCTACTTCATTCAAACCTTCACCTTACAAATTCCAAATAGCAATTCGTTAAAAAATACAAGTTATCTGACGTAAATTCGTGCCACTTCTCCGACCTATATTTTCTATTAACACAAAAACATGAAAAACTGCAGTTCCGAATTCTCCAATTTCGAGGATTTGTATTAGGAGCACAGGATGTGCAAGGAAATATTCCGAATTCCCGTCAAAACTCCTCATACTTCAACAATCTTCATGTTCTCCTAGTAGCAAAATGCAAAAATCAGTAGTTTAATTGTCCAATTTCGAGGATTTGTATCAGGAACATAGAATGTGCGAGGTGGTATTTCGAATCCCGCCAAAAACTCCTGCTACCTCTTGGGTCTTCATGTTCTCCTGATACCAGAATGCGAAAATCGGCAAACCAGATTTCTCCAATTTCGAAGATTTGTATCAGGAACACAGAATGTGCGAGGAGGTATTTCGAATTCCCGCCAAAAACTCCTGCTACCTCTTGAGTCTTCATGTTCTCCTGATACCAGAATGCGAAAATCGGCAAACCAGCTTTCTCCAATTTCGAAGATTTGTATCAGGAACATAGAATGTGCGAGGAGGTATTTCGAATTCCCGCCAAAAACTCTTGCTACCTCTTGAGTCTTCATGTTCTCCTGATACCAGAATGCGAAAATCGGCAAATCGATTTCTCCAATTTCGAAGATTTGTATCAGGAACACAGAATGTGCGAGGAGGTATTTCGAATTCCCGCCAAAAACTCTTGCTACCTCTTGAGTCTTCATGTTCTCCTGATACCAGAATGCGAAAATCGGCAAATCGATTTCTCCAATTTCGAAGATTTGTATCAGGAACACAGAATGTGCGAGGAGGTATTTCGAATTCCCGCCAAAAACTCTTGCTACCTCTTGAGTCTTCATGTTCTCCTGATACCAGAATGCGAAAATCGGCAAATCGATTTCTCCAATTTCGAAGATTTGTATCAGGAACACAGAATGTGCGAGGAGGTATTTCGAATTCCCGCCAAAAACTCTTGCTACCTCTTGAGTCTTCATGTTCTCCTGATACCAAAATGCGAAAATCGGCAAATTTGAAGAATTGTATCAGGAACATAGAATGTGCGAGGAGGTATTTCGAATTCCCGCCAGAAACTCCTGCTACCTCTTGAGTCTTCATGTTCTCCTGATACCAAAATGCGAAAATCGGCAAATTTGAAGAATTGTATCAGGAACATAGAATGTGCGAGGAGGTATTTCGAATTCCCGCCAGAAACTCCTGCTACCTCTTGGGTCTTCATGTTTTCCTGATACCAAAATGCGAAAGTCGGCAAAATTTCTCCAAATTCAAAGATTTGTATCAGGAACATAGAATGTGCAAGGAGGTATTTCAAATTCCCGCCAGAAACTCCTGTTACCTCTTGAATCTTCATATTCTCCTGATACCAGAATGCGAAAATCGGCAAACCAACTCGAATTTCGATTTTCGAAGATTTGTATTAGGAGAATATAATGTGCGAGAAGATATTTAAAAACTAGTTCAAGTAGTATAAGTCAATAAAAAGTGGAACAGTGGAAAATCTTCTATTTCTTTGAGTAGGCAGGATTTCACAGGAAAAAGAATTTAATGAAGTAGATTCAAATAAAAAATATATAGAAATATACGTTTTAATAATATATATATTTATTTTTTGCAAGTATAATAAATAATACAACAATAATACTTGTAATATAAATATATGTGTAATACTTTGTAATATAAATATATGTGTTATAATATAATATATATAATACAATGAAATATTGTGTTGTGTATGTAATAATTACGAATTTTTCAGATGCAAATAATGCGATTATGTTTTTATGTTGTTATAATTTTATGAAACTCTATTTGGGAAATATTACTGAACAGCATATTGCTCTACGGCGCACACATTGTTTCACAAAATTATAAAGACATAAAAATACACGCATTTTGTTTTTCACCTAACAAACCCGTAATTATTTGGTATATAATGTTACAATATATGTGTATACAATATAATATAATATTGTTGCATTTCCGCACGATCGTTCGCCCGTATCCAACGATGATGTTTTCCGATGTTGATTTCGATGTTAAGTGGCCAACTTCATAGTAGTTTGCGAGTGTGTATTCTACACATGCCGACTCGTTTGGCGTTGATGATAAATTTGTATTAAATACAAATAAAACTAAAGATCAATTATAAAAGTCTTTTGGATAAAAGTTTTCTTTTCACTTAATTTGACGATATTTATAAATAAATATTCAGTAAGGATCTTGTGCGTAAAAAGTCAATAAAGTGGTATCAGTCAGATAGCAGATATGACTAGAAAAAAAATTTCGGGAACAATCCACGGAAGAAACAGTCTCTCCTATAAAGGCTCGAGCTTTCACATTGAGATCATTGCTGATAAGATCGAAGAAGGAGAAAGCGTCTCTTTTGCTACACGCTACATGGCATATATCTGCAATTAATACCTGATTAGCTATTCCGTACATGACGAAATAGGCCAATGGTCGATTAGACGTAAATAATGCCGAAGATAAGTGTACGAGGTGCGCGTTGTAAGAGCATTTTATTCGGCGACTTTTAATGGCCATTTCATGAGATACAAATGCCTCAAGCTACGATCGGGTTTTTATTGCGTTAGTTGTCAAGTCTAGTGATATAGAGAATGTAATAAAATATCCCGTTCTTCCCGTCACGAAATTTTGGCGCAACCTTATTCTAATTAAAACCTTATTCAAATCTAAATTTAGTGTTTTCCCAGCACGCGTATAATTTTCACGTATCCGTTAGGTAATTAGAATTTATTATAAAGAGACAGAGGAGAGGGACAGAGAAATAAGCGGCCGAACTGAATTTTAAATACCAGATATAAACGATGATGAAACGAGTGAATCGGAGACAAGCGCTCGCAAAAGGTAAAGCGCAGCAAGTAAGTAGGGAAAAGAGATTAACGGCGATATGCCCCGAAGAAAGAGCACACAATAATTGCCGCTAACTTTGCATTAATATCAGTTAAAGTTTGACAGGGTAGCCATTAAACGTTGTATGGGCGCGCAATTAAAAGTGTGTAACTGCCGTGTATCCGCGTAGTCGCCATAGTAAAAGAGATAATTGCCGCATACATTTGCGCGCTTTGACCCATATTCGCGCGACGATCGCGTCGTGGTGTTGCAGCGACAATTTTTCGCGGTCTGACAACACGTAGGCAGACGCGGTAAAGTCGCGTTCCACGTTTCCCGATCGCGAGCGGAGTCCGCGAAGAGAAGTCAAGGAGAAAATCTAAGTTCAAGCGTACACCTGAATCGCCATTGGCGAAGAACCGCGTGTGTTCTCCTTCGCGGCACTGAGAAGTCGTCCGTCGCGCGACACGCTCGCGAACTAAAATCGCAGAAAGTATTCACCAAAAGGAGACAAATGACAAACTACGCGGGCAGGAGAGCAATCGGCGCGCTGCAAAAGGATTACAATAAATCAGGATATATCGCACCTCGACCTCGATGACCGTCGTCATGTCGACGTGGGGCGCGTAGCACAGCGTCAGCTTGTCGGCTGTCGGCGCCTCCGTACGCGGCGGAAACATGCCTAGGACCTCCAGTTTGCCGTTACGGGAATATTAAGAGACGCGCGCGAAACAGTTTCGCGCCACTCGTTTATGTACACCACTTCAAGCACTCGACGAATCACACATGTCACAACCCGCGAGCGAAATCCCGTCCGAACTTTGCGCTCGCGCGGAGACCACACTGCACACGTGCACGTTGAGAAGCGAGACAACACACATCGAGTTGCACTGCGCGAGAGCTGTGATCGGCAGGTAGGGAGGCAGGCAGGCAGGCAGATGGAGGACAACAGAAATCGGGAATAACAGAAGGAGGAAGGGAATTCAAGAGGGAACTAGAGTCGCGGAGCTGTGTCAAGCCTTTGAGAAAGGGGTTTTCCACGCGGAAGCGCCCAAGTATCTCGGCTGTCTGTGCTGTTTCTCGGACACGAGTGGGACACTGGTGGGCACGTAAACGTAAGTTAAGCACCGACGAGTCAAAAACAACAAATGCGCGAGAGAGAGACGCGCTGGTCGTCGTGACTAGTTCGAGTCTCGCGCGCGGTCAATACGGCACCTTGTTCATCCATCACTACCGCTCCCGGAGCTCGTAGAAACATGCGACAGTCTTTTACGGAGTTCCCTCACTCCCTCTCTCTCTCTCTCTCTCTCTTCAATTGACCTCTTCCCCCGAACCTCTCTAGACGACACTCTCCCGGTGTGAAACCGATCTCCACGTCCGAAGCAACCTCCGATCAACCCGACGTGCGCCCTCGCACGTGATTTCCACGGGACGAAACGAGACGAAGTAATCGCGACTTGGACCGAAGAAGGAACCGCAGTGATCCGTGGACTTATTCCACGATGTGTCCTCCTAAGACCATCACCGTCTCATTCCAGCTTTACTCACGGCGACCGGCAGCGAGATCGAGAGAGATCGCGGGACGATTCCGTGGGTCGGGAAGACCATGGCGAGGAGGAGAAGGAGGAGCAGGAAGGAGGAGGAGGAGGAGGAGGAGGAGGAGAAAGAGGAAACTCTCGGGGCAGCGGCGTCCGAGCGGAGCACATCGGCGATCTGCCGAGACCGGGTAACAGCTGATCGAGCGTCGTGTCGCGGCCGGCCGACTGAGCGACGAGAGGACGTCGACGACGAGGCGTACGAAAGTGCACCCGACAGCCGTATGGCCGCGAAGCAACGAAACGGGAGGTGCTACGGTATGCTCTTACCGCGGAGCTGCTGCTACTACTACCACCACCACCTTCATCTCGCGTACACCACCTTAGTATCCTGCCCTACCATTCGACAGGCAGTCCGGGTGTCCCAGCGGCAAGAGCGACAGAGAGGAAATAGAAGGAGCGAGCGGCAGAGGAGAAGGCGCGCCCGAGGTGGAGCGGGAGCCCTCGTTTGTGCACGCGTACCCCGACGACGGCCGAAATTTCGCCCCGGGATACGCGCCACCACGTGGAACTAGACTTAGCACCGGCTGCGTGGCCCCACCACGGACGATGGACGCGATGGGACGTCCCACGATCGAGCGAATAGGAGTGATAGTCCGCGCGGTGCCGTACGACGCTCGCCGACGCTCGCCGAGTCGCCCGCCGACGTCTGCCGGTGAGACGCGCGGCCTCGTGCCCGCTCCTTGTGCTCGCTCACTCGCTCGCTCGCTCGCTCGCTCGCTCGCTCGCCTCGCTCGTCGGCCTTTTACGTAGGGATGATGCTCGACTGTGTAGGGGTGGCCCCGCGGGGATCGAGACGCAACGCTCTTCGCAACGGTCGTGGCACAGAGAGAAATTAAGACTGAAGCAGTGAGTGAATCGATCAATCCGCACAGTCGAGAGAATTTCGGATTTATGATTATTACTCCCCGAGTCTCCTTGGTCGAGTGAAATTCCACTCGAAAAGTAGACTGACAGCTGACTCACTCGGATTCAAGCGATCCTTTCGCTCGTATATCGTGATAGTCCCCTACTTTGAATCGTTGAGTGAGTATCTTCATTCAGAATGAAACGTTCAGTCATATTAAGAATCCATTTTGTGGCGATGAAGAATCCATTCTGAATTCATTCACTCCTGTGATTCCGAGTTACGATGTTTTTGCTGTCTCGCTCCGAGTGAATTACTCTTTGAATTTCGCGTGAGATTTCACTCCGAGAAATTTTGAGGATAGTTAATGGATTAATAATTAGCAGGACTGATGATTTCAGTAGTAGGATTGGTAATTCTCGAATGTGACTCTGGTCAATTCGCACTGAGGAAAAAGAATACTTGAAAATTTGTCTGTAGGATATGAAGTTTATTTCTGTGAAATCAAATTTGTTCTTGTGCGTAAAATAAGATTTATTTTTTCTCTGAATAAACTTTAAATCCCGCAAATAAATTTCCAAGTTTTCAGTGTGTTTAAGTTACATTATTTATACGTTTCTGTGTGTCATCCCCGCTTAATTTGATGGCGTTTCACGATATTAACGTTCGACTGTGCGGTGGTAACCGATCGAAGGTATCCGCGAGATTCCGCGACTATCAGAGCCGCGAACTCTAATGCGTATTCTGAGGGAAAATTTACACCTTGGCAAAAGCCGATCGGAACTCGCGGTTGGTAGAAAAGCAGAGACTGCCGAGCAGCAACGCGAGTTCTGATTGGCGAGTCTGCCTAACATCGCTCCGCAGTTCGTAATCCTCCAGTGCATTCGTCAGTCGCCGACGTTGCGCAAAACTCTCGAATTCCGCGTCTTTCTTTCTCACAATGGAACTCGACGTCGACATCGTCACCGGCAGGGATTTATTCCGCGTTAACACCGCGAGGCTGAGGACGCGGTGGTTTCGAGTTCTCAAACTTGTCGAGGCTGTCTCGCGAGTCAGTTCTCTGTCGCTCGCTCCAACGAGATTAGCGACTTCGTGACTCGCGTTTGCTTAATTTCCACGGCGCAGGCACGTCGTCCCATTATTTCACGTGATGGCTCATTAAGACATCGTTTCCTCGTCTAATGACGATCATCCACTATAACGAGACGACGTGTTATACAATATCGCGATGACCGAAGGATAACGCGTTACGTCGCACGCCTCGTTGCTGTCAGTTTTCGTCTCGCTTCTTTTTTCCACTGTCATTGAAAGAGGAGAGCACTTTCTCGACTGTGTGTAAAATGCTCGAGAGACGCGTGATCAACACGTTGACCGTCGCGTTGATTGTACAAAAGCTCGACTGAATTACCGAAAAGACGATGGAAGAAAGAATAAACATAATTTCTATAACTTTTAACTTTTAGTTAATTAAATTAAAATTAGCTCCTACAATTTTTCCTCGTTCCATCGGCTGTCTGTTCACCGCGCAGTTAACTTTCTAAATGCAGTTAATTGTACGCGGCGAAAATATTGATAAAAATGACAACAAAATTTTGTGATCTCGGGCCATATATAAATTATGAAAATGAAATTATGACGGAAATTGTTATGTTTCTTTGAATATATTATGCACGTTTGTCACACTTGCTATCTCTACAGTGATCGATATTACAACGTCAGTACAGTGCGGCTTTACAAGAAACATTGGAAAATGAAATATAGTGCTTACGCAAGTTTTCTTACGACTTTTCTTGCACGCTTTCCACGTGAATGCGCGCCGGAAAACAACTCTACGCGGGGCAGTTAACGTTATTTTGTACCGGAACATCTCACGCGAACCAGTTCGCGCTTGCAAAATTGCGCCACCCCTCTCCTCGCCCAAGAGCATCCGCCCTTATTGCTCACAAATTCATGTTCGCCTGTTATTAAATTACCTCGCGCTAACAATGTACGTACGCACGACGCGCGATAAGTACAGATAGGGGATCTTACCCGCGCGATCGTTGCGCAGCTCGTTATCGCATAAACGTCATATTTATTAGCGCGCCGTGGAATTGGAGCGCTGTCGATACCGCTCTTTATTAACCGGAAGATTGATGTTCGCCGGCGAACGAATAATTTAAATTATGGACGATCGCGCGGCTTCCGTGTGTGCGTGTGCGTGTGGCAAAAATGTCCCGTTGGCGCTCGCTCATAGGCGTATGTTCGCGCAACGACGGGAAGAGAGAGAGAGAGAGGGGCAGAGAAAGGAGGGAGAGAAAGAGGATGAAAAAGCGAGAGAGAAGGGAGCAGAATAAGAAGATAGAGAGGGATGAGGAGAAGGAAAGAGGCTCGCAGGAGTCACTATTAATTTGCAAGGTGAAAACGGCCGTCAACGGCCAGGGCGCACGGCGTTGCGGGTCGTCGACGTGCGCGCCGGGCGTAATTTATGCCGGTGTAAATTCTGCAGCGTAATTACGGGGCGAAGCGCCATTCACGACGCGCCATACGCCGAAGTTGAAGGCCCGATGAGCGGCGTCGTCGCGCGAACCGCCGCGTAAAACCGCCCGAATGCACCGCTCGCCGCCCTGGAGAATATCCGCGAATAAGCGCGAATCCGACGGGATTCGCGCCGAAAGGCGTCCTCGACGCGAGGCACTTCTCCGCGAGCTGCAGGCGCACGAGTGAAGGTGCTCCTCTCCTCTTCAGCCGACGAATTCCGAGGTCGGGAAGGCTCCCGGCGATCGTGAGGAATGGCCCACGCGCGTTATTTGTTATTGCACGCAGACGACGCGGGGGGGAATTAGGAGGAGCCGTCGATCTGATTTTGCGCCGTCGCATCTTTCTACGCCAGAAAAAATGCACGCTCATGTCAATTACGACGAAGACTAAGCGGACACACGAGCTTGCAGCAATCACCGTCGTCGCGGCTCGCTGTTGCGGTTTCTCCCTAGACTCGCGTTTCTTTCGTTTATCGGTAATTGAAAGATAGAAGTCCGATGCTGCTGTCGATAGTTAATCACCGATTGGACGAACGGTGATGGCTATTCGATTTGACGTACGCTTTCGGCCGCTCTCGATTAATCACGCGCCTCGCGCTTCGGGGCCGCTAAAAAGTCATGAATATAAATCAGCAACGGAAAGAAACACCTCTCCTCTCGCGAGCGCGAAAGGTGAAACGGCGAAACGGTGTAACAACGCTGACAACGGTGCGTCTCGGCAACGCGAGCCGTCATCGGCCGTCTTTTGCCCGGTCAATCCGAGGCACAAAAGTGGCACGGAACCAGTTTGTCCGGCATGAATCTCAGCCAGGCTCGGTTTCCTTAATTTTACTTTTTCAGATTTATGTGCGCACAACAGCGCTAATTAATTCGCGCGGCGCTCAACTTCCCTGTGTGTACTCGCGCCAACATACACAGAGTGTAAATTACGTCGCATCCGCTATTCACGCGTATACACACACACATACACACACTGAGAGACAAAAAAAATGATTGATCTAACTAAACTCGTAGCCATTTTTGGTCCTAACAGTTATAGTTTTTAGTTGGAATTTAAACGAAAGTAGTAGTAATATGTGCATATAAATTTATTATCACTTTTAGTACACTGAAAAAAATTATCCGACAAAACATTATCAAACGGATATTCCCAATCAAATTCTGATCAATTTTTACTGATCAGAATATCCGATTAAATGCTGTTGGATATATTCCGATTATAATAGTATTTTATCAGATAAACCGATAAAAAAATTATGAACCGATATTTCTCATCGGTGTATCCTGATCGGATACAAAAATTCGTCGGTATTTTAGTCGGAAATATCCGTTAATTTTTTATCGGATAATTTCTCTCAGTGTATTACTGGTCAATTTTTTATTCTTATTTCTCACTTCCATACTCTTGCGGCCACTGTAGATGAGCTTTAACCTTCTAGCCGTGAGTCTTTTTTGACCCAGAGCAGTTTCAAAGTTTATTCAATAATATTCTAAATACAAATGTAATACTTTGCGACTTTTCGAGTTATTTTAGAAAAAGTCAGTACATGTGCTAAATTATTTTATATAATGCTAAAATAAAAGATATAAAAATGATAATATATAAAAAAAAGATAATAGATAAAAAAGACAAAAATAGATAGAAATAGATAATAGATAAAAGATATAAAAAAAGATATATGTCAATTAAATAATGAGTTCTCACCATTGGATCTATTTAGACCCTGAACATAATCAAAGTATACCGGAAACGAATACGAACGATTAGAAGATTAAAAGAGGAGGCTCCACGATAAACGCGGAATACGCTGAACACACCTTGTCTCACCCAATATCGATAGACTGACCCACATAATATAAATTTATAGGCCGCTGTGTGTGCGTGCGTGCGTGAGTGCGCACGTGTTGCGCGCCCGTGTTGCACACG